ATTCCCAAATTTTTAAACATATTTTGTGTAATTTTTTGTCAAATGGACAACTTTTTTAGACAGACTTTATAAAACAAATTATTTTCATTACTTTATTTATTATATAATAAAAAATATTACACCATTTATAATCCATATGTGTAATAAAATACACATAAAATAATTGAAACGAAATATTGAAATATATACCTAAATATAACAAGTAAATTCAGTTATTGATTACTTTGCTCTTACCTTTCATTTATCTCAGTGTATCTACAACAGTTGTTTTGAATACACAGACTTCTTACTTTGTTGTGTATATCCCCGACACATGTTATTATAGACACAACGAATCAGCTGCTCAAAAAGTTGTTAAGAAACAAGGAGAAACTGAATACACTCTTCAATATGCAACTTCATGTGATGCTACTTCATGGACAGATGACACAACTGCATCTTTAAAAGAAACTGATAATGTTGATCTTTCAGGGTATTATGTTAAATACAATGTATATAAAGAGAATGATTGCAAAAATGGATCTCCTGATTATTATATAACCTCTCTTGGTTGTGTTAATGTTGAAGGACAAAACATGACGATCAATATTGATGATAAAAAAGTATACATGACTTATTACGCCAATTCGCAATGTACTACTTCGATTAATGATAAATCTAACATAGAAAAAAATTTTGGAGAATGTGACAATAGTATGAGCCCTGTTAATCAATTTACTGCTCCAAACTTTTACATTCAAGACGATTCGACATCTTTTCAAGTTTATGTCGAAGGAATATGTTATATTGATGATGATAACAAATTGGTTGTTGTTAAAAAAGACAGTTACGTTTATGCAGGAAACACATGCCAAGATGCATTTGAATCGACAACCAAGTTAGAAACTAAAACAGTACAAAAAGTAACATCTTTTCCAGAATATTACTTCAGAGAAGTTAGCAGTGGATCAAAAGATTGTAATATCGTTAGCAATTTGGCGCTTACAAATTTCCCAGATAACTATTATAAAAAGAAGGATAGTGTATGTCTAACTCGGCATCTTCTGGATTTAATTATATAACAACTAAAAATGAATTAACTCATTTGTATTACACAGATGGGGCATGCAACACATTCGATAATAATTACACTTATCAATATAAAAATGTGTATTAGACAATAATAAACAATACTATACGTTTTATGATGGCAAATCTACATCAAGTCAAGTATACATACAACACGCTGGATACTACATATTATATACAGTTGGTAGATGTTATGGGAATAAGGATGCTACTAATAAAGCACAGAGAATTATTGCGACTGGAGACACAACCAAGCCGTACAAATTGCAAATTGCGCCATCTTGCACTTCTGCCGAGTCTGCGTGGACTGACTCTACCAGCACTGAAACTATAAATGAAGTCACAGAAAAAATTTCAAATTCGTTTTATGTGAAAGAAAGAATGTATCCAGACGAAACTACATGCACTGGTGTTACATATCCACTTCCCGACCATTTATACACAACACTTGAGTGTATAAACGTTGATGAACGATATTTCAGTCTCAGTGTTGATGACTACAATGTCTATTTTACAAACTATGAAGATGCCCAATGTACAAAACTCGATTATTCTAGTACTGTATATACAGCACACCAAGAATTGATGTTAGGATTTTGTTTTGAACCACGCCCTTCAGCAAAAGCTATTTACTACCCACCATTTTTATTTATTCACGAAGAAGCTAATTATTTTGATTATTACATACCTTACATGTGTTACATTAACACAAAAGATGGCAAACCATATATTCAAATTAGACTTGATCAAAATGTATATACTGCTAATACTTGTGATGAATTATCCAATTCTATTGAAGTTATATCTGACTACAAAATAAAACAGGTTGCACAATTCGATACTTTTTATTACAGAGAAATTTACTACGCAAATATAGATTGCACTTTTTTAAATAATTTCGACCAACCAAAACGCGCAGACAGGTGCTACACAACCAATAACAAATGTGTACCGGATACAAACTCTCATTATAACTTTGAAGTTAACAACGAACAAGTCATAATCTGGAAATACAAAGATTCCACTTGCAATGAAATTGATCAAGAAATTTATTATAATAATAAAGTGTGCACGAAAACATCTGATGGCGATTATCATATTGTTTTTATCAGAGCGAAAACATGTGGTCGAGTATACATACAGCACACTGGATATATCACAGTGTATACCGTTTATTCATGTTATGCAAATGATGATGCTGTTTACAAAGTACAGCGAATGAAATATACTAATTTTATACTTAGTCTGTGGAAATTACAAATTGCGCCATCTTGCGATTCAGATGAGTGGAAATGGATTGACGCTCCAGACCCTGGTACAATTAATAAATTCGGACCTGATATGGAAAAATCGTATTATTTTGAAAGAAAGAACATATCTTAATTCTACAACATGCAGTGGTGATTTATATCCATTACCAGACATTTTATACACGTCACGTAGGTGCATTGATATGAATGGGTCTTATTTCACTTTGAATGTTGATGATAAAAAAGCTGTTTTCAAATCATACAAAGACAAGGAATGTAAAATACTAGACACTGAAAAGTATGAAGAAGACACTTTTAATGAGTGTTTAGGGTCAGGTTCTTATAGAACAAAATACTATGGCCAGAAGTTGTATGTCCATAAAGAAGAAACGTATATCGAAACATTTATCAAAAATAAGTGCTATGTAAATCCAATAGATGATACAAAATATGTTATAATCAAAAACGATGAAAAGATGTACACAGCTGACACTTGTAAAAATATCAGAGATTCATCAACAGAAGTTTCTAATTATAAAAATGAAATACTCGAGACGTTCCCTTCTTATTATTACAGAGATGTTTATTATGGAAAGAATGACTGCAACATAACAGCAAACTTGGATATGATAACACCATATGCAGATATGTATTTCATTAAGAATAATACATGTAAACTGTTTTTCAAAAGTCGGTAGTGAGGTGTCCCGATTTTTTGCATTTATTTTGTTTAATATTTTTGGGAATCGTTTTTTGTAATAAATTCGCTTATTTTTTCCAAGTAAAAAAGAGAAAAACAGTCTTCAAAAAATATTTTTTACTTGAAAAATTTTTAAGCATTAAAAAAACCATATAAAATTTGAAGTAACGGGTTTTTTGTTTCAGAAAAACACATGAATGATCCCAAAAGTGCATTTTAGTACAAAAGCAAATAAACTTAATGTCAATCTTTATCATTATCAAACATTTTAATAATTAATGAAATATTCACAAAACAAAAGCTTAGTTCGAAGATTAGTATGCTTAGTTGTGTTGTCACAAAAACAATAAAAATATCAAAATGATTTGATAATTTATCTTTGTTGGTTTTTATAAAGTCGACATCTTCTTTGATCATTTCAGTGAGAACATCTTTTTTAAAATATCCAATAACAAAACATTATTGTTATTTTGTATTATTTTTCTAGTGTTGCCCTTTGACTTGTGTCTGTCAGAATTATCAAACATTTGCTGTATTTTTTAATGTTTTTTGAACTCTTTATTTCATTATTTTTTATTCAGAGAAGATAACCACATGTTTGTTTTTAATTGAAAATATTTTTTAACGAAAGTAATTATCAGTTAAAACTCGACACAAACAACAACATCCAATTTACTTAAACGTTAATTGTTGTGCTTTTAGGTCAACAATGCTGTGTATATGTTGCAAAGTATCGAGTTAAGGTCAAATCAAATAACGGGATCGGTTTTTTTTGGAAAAGGATGGCTAATATTCCAACATTTTCCTGAATTTGTACGAAAATAATTGAATGGGATTAGTATTTTTTTCAAAATAAAGTCTGTATTTTCGATTTTTTGTTTTTTGTTTTTTTAGGAAAAAACAAAAATAAAAAACGGGACTTTAGGAAGTTCTAAAAATATGACGGTCAGACTTTTGAAAAACAGTTTATTAGTGGTAATACTGGATACAAATTTGAGACAAATAAAACCACTTTAACTTCATACTATTTCAGTGATGAAAAGTGTGCTGCGCCAAATGAAAAAACACCAAAACTTGAGTATGCTTACCAGACGTGTGAAAAAGATATCGATGAAGATTACTATATCTACTACTATGGTAATGATACTATTATCGAAACACCAGATGAACCTGATGAACCAGATGTACCCGAAGCTGCATTTGGGTTAATCGTTGTCATCATTTCTTTGATCGTCATTGCCTTATTATAAGAAATTTTTGACTCATTTTCTTTATTTATTAATTTTTAATGTGTTAAAATATACAATTAAAAAAAACTTATCAACCTTAAAATAATTTTGTAATTGATAATAAAATTAGTCTTATTTATCTAATTTGAATGAAGAATTTATATACATAAACTGGGAATAATAAATTTTTATTTTAAATTATTCTATTTGGTGTTATTAAATAATAAGATTGTTATTTTATATTTAAATGACAAACAATAAATACTAAAATAATTTCATTGAATTTTAATAACAAATGATAATCATTAGACTAAAAAACTATTCAATGACACGTTTCTAATCTTTTTATTTTCAAAACGTTGTCTTATTTTTTTCAACTTAAAAAGAGTTTTTACATTTATTTGTATTTACACTTAAATGACTAAAATAACTTTTTAAAAAAAGAAAAAAAAACAGAGACACCAATTTTAAAAAAAAATACTCAAAACAACCCATGTTCCTTTCGAAACATTATATTATTCAAAAAATAAAAATGTTAACTCAATTAAATAAGATTTAACTAAATTTCATAAAAACTTGACAACTTAGTCGCGGAATTTAAAAAATAATTACTTTATATCATGGATTTCACCGTTTACCAATTTCGTTGACAGTTGTCATGTTCGTGTGCAATCAACCATATTCATGTCTCAATAAGATAAAACTCAAATAAAGTATTTTGATGCTCAAGATAAACAAATGTTTTTTATTTTTTAGTTATTATAATTGTAACACTCGACAAGATTTTTCTCCTGACTCTGAAATACAACAGACACACCTTAAATTAAACGTCTTGAAAGATGTCATTTGAATGTGTTTTGTTCCTCGGTTTCCCCATGAACGTGTTCGAACATTTCCGACTTTCCAATGAGATTCATCCACAAAAACAACTGCGTATCCGCTTCTCTGATATCGCACCGACTCACCGAGTCTAACAACTTGTAACTCTTTGTTTTGTTCCGAATTTGCGTTTCTTCCTCTGATGGTATCTTCTGTAAAAGATAGCGGGTTGAGTTCCACGCTATTCATAATGTCGCTATTTTCTAAGTATCGCTGAAGAGTTGAAATGCACACAAATTCGAAATTTTCCTCGACTAGTTGTTTTTGTTTCTCTGAGTGATATGCAATTTTGACACAAAAAATAACATGGAGGTTTTAAGAGTTCGTCATAATATTTAGGTTTTCTACCTTTTTTTTACTGATTTTGTAATATCCATATTTTTTTAGTTTGTTCAAATAATTTATTGTTGAATTGTTCCACGTGTGAGTCTTTTTGCTATACCATTAAACGTTATGTGCTTCACCGTGTTCTGTAAAAAGACGAGAAAAAATAAAAAGCTGTATTCTTTTTTAATGATTTTTTGTTAAAATCATTTAATAATTAGATAAAAACAAATGAAAATACAAAACAACAATAACAATGAGCGATTATACATATCCACTTGTTGCTTTACTTTTTGGAAATGCCCGTGTTGGACGTCGTGCAATTCGTGAACGTTATGCTTTACATCAATTTAATGTTAAAGTTGATTATTGTATTGAACCTTGGTATGGTCAACATTTAACTATTGAAGGCGGAACCATTGCTGTCCAACTTGAATTGTATACTGATTATCCTATCGCAGAAGCATTTATGAAAAATATTTGGATTCCAAACTCTGGTATATATATCATTGTCTATTCAATTGACAATTTAGAATCGTTTAAAGCTCTTTCTAAACACAGAGAAAAAATGTACGAAATTCTCAACAAAAGAGTTGGAGACGAAATCATCTATGCCATTTGTGGGACTAAAAGTGATTTAGAAAACAACCGTGAAGTGTCTACAGAAGAGGGAGAACGTCTTGCAGAAAAATGGGGTTGTATGTTTTTCGAGATTTCGTCGAAATTGGGAGTAAATATTGATGAAATGGTGTTTACCCTTGTTTCCCAATTTAAGAAAAAAGGGTTGAAAACTCAAAAACAAATGGATACAAATTAAAAGGGTTCAATTCGAATAATTTAAATTTTAAGTTGATTGTTATTATTACAAACAAATTGTTGTTATTTTGGTCGAATTTAGATAGTACAGGGAGGATAAAAAACCGCTTCCGTCTTTTTAACCGCTTCCTATCAATTTAATAGTTATAACTAATAACGTTACAATAAAAAGTATGATACAAATAACCACCTGGGACAGAAAAAGTCTCCACGAGGCATATTCAGCCTTCATGGTAAACAGTACCATACATTTTATTATATTAATATTATTTAAATCTATAAAATCAAGTGGAAGCGGTTAAAAAGACGGAAGCGGTTTTTTTAGCCCCCCTGTAAAAGATATTTTTTAAATACAATAACAACAAAAAACTTGTTAATACATTTTTGAAAATAAATATGATTTTATTAAAAAATAACAAAAAATCAAAAAAATATATTATTACAGTATAACCTCCCAAAAGCGAGCATTTTTAGCCAATCAAACCTTATTTACCGCTCAATAAAGAACTCTTTTATTTTTAATCAAAAAATGCCGCTCTTGACAGAACCCGCTCTTCAAAAGTACCGCTCTTGGGAGGTTTTACTGTATTTTTTAATAAAAAATGACGTTTTTAAGTGTTAATGCCATTTTGAAGTGTTTTAAAAATATCGATTGTTAAATTAAATAAACAATTATTTGATGTATTATATTGATTTAAAACATTTCCATTTGATTACAATTAATTATAAATAAAAGTCATTGAAAATAACAACATAATAGTTTTATTGTGTATAATTAAAAAATTTAAAACCAATTGAAGCAATTACTTCTTAAATCAACTGACAATTGGATTTTTCCACTGTTTTATCTTGAAATTTTGTTTCTTTATTAATAAAGTCGTTTTCAATATATTCAGAAACTACTGTGGTGATCATATTGGTCAGTCCTTTATTCCTTTGTGATGAACACTCGAACACTTTATAGTGATATTTTTCCGAAAATTTATGAACTTCAACGTCAATTTCCAAATTTTTCTTTAATTCACTTTTTGTTATTAAAACGAAATTTTTAGTTATTTTGGTATCTTTTTTGTTTGTATCAAATATTGATTTCCAAATTTCAAGATTTATTGCAGAAGCAACACTGTCTTGGGAACAGCAAAAAACAACACAATTTGCAAATCTGACTAACGAGGGACTTAAATATCGAAATCTCTCTGCACCACCTTTTAGTTATTTAACGATTAATATTTAACTAATTATATTTGTAAATAATTAAGAATTTATAATAATTATTAAGTATAGTTGAAACTGTAATCAATTTAACAATAAAGAGTCGTATGTGATAATAATATAATCGGAATTTTGATTTTGTTTGTTACAACAAATATGACTCTATAATTATTAATAATAACTATACAGAAACTAATTTTATTAATATTGTAAACACGTTTAAATATATTTAAATTAATTATTAAAATAACAATAAATATGAAATAACAAACACTGTTCAATAAATCTAATTTCCACAAATTTTCTGTCAATAATAAGTTTCTTTTTATTAATACTTTTAGCCATTTATTAAAACAAACTTTGCTATGAAAATCTTCATAATGAATGACGGGTATAACATCATAATATACGTTTTTGGTAATTATATTAATTACTGAAGTCTATTTGTAATTTCGTTCAATTTGTTTCTTTTTAATAAACCTTACCAACACCGACATCGCCAATTAATAAAACGTTTATTGTTTGTTGTGTGTTTTGCATTACTATATTTTTAGTATAATTATTATTATTTTTTATTTCAAACAAACAGTGAATTTTGTTATATAATAAATATTATTATTATTATTTAATATAATATGGTCATTTTTAAAACATTGCATCTTTGACTTATAGTATAATTATAATAAAATAATTATATGTTTTTTTGAAACAAAACACAAAAACACAAACAAATTTATTTGAAAATATTACTCTAATTAAAATACTAATACAAAATTATAACTAAAGTTGCAAATATAATTTCAATTATATTTTTTTGGTTGCACCATTCAACCACCTCCTATTTATCGAAATTTTGCAGTGAAAAAGTCTTCGAATCAAATAAGTTGGCTTTTCTCATCATTTTCGTTTTATTCACGTAATTTTATTATTTGTTCCATTTACAATCAATATACAATACTGTTGTTATAGTTTTGTACGACAATTAGAAATTTGGAATTTTTATGCTTTTCATTAAAACAAGCAGTTGAACTTATCATTTAAATATCGAGTTATATTTTATGTTGATTTATAACCTAATTTAACTGTTTAATTTTAATTTTGTTCAATACGTTAATATTTGTTTTTTTGTTTATTATTATATTTGTGTAATAATTAAACATTTCACTGGATGTAGAATAATTCAAAACCTCGTCATTTGAACTTTCTCTTTCTGTCAAAATATCAAGTGGGTTGTCTAACACAAAGTTGTCACCTTCTTTAGTTATTTTTTTATATTTATATTCTTACTTTTAGTTTTTTCTTTAGGTTGTTTTATTTGTTTGTCATCTTTTTTCTTCTTCTTTTCCTTTTTATTATAGAATTTATACTTTTTTAACACGTTTCCTTGGTTTTTTGTTATTTTTTATTAAATAGTGTTATTTTTTTCTTTTTTTTGTCGTTTGATCTCTAAAAAAGACTGTCATGCCCGTTTTATTTTTTCTTCTTAACATTTTCATGCACTTGGATATTACTCAAACCAACTAACAAATAAGCCTTAAAAAATAGTAATTAGAAAAAAGTAGTTCAAAATGTCCAACCAATCTTTTTTTCAGCAAATGGAAGTAGTTTTGTTCCCAATGCAATTTATCATGTAAAACATGTGATGACACAAATGGAAACTGTTTAACATTCTACGTAAATTATTTTGTTTCAAGTGGCGTTTGTTTGAGTTGTCCAGCAAATCAGTTTTACAGTCCAAATGGTTGTTCGGATTGTGTAGAACAAACGTATTCTTTTGCAAATAGTACAATGTGTACAAGTTGTGGTTCATGTGTTGCATGTGACAAAATGTATGGTCACCGAGTTCGCACAATACAGCAATTTACAAGACTTGATAAAACACAAAACAAGTGACAATGTTGATATGATACTTCGAATCAAAACGATGTTGGACGCATCAAGTGGTGTTTTGTATTTACATGAAAACGCCATTTTACATCGAGACATCAAACCAGACAATTTCCTTGTGTTTTCATTAAATTCAAATGATAAAGTGAATGCTAAATTGACTGATTTTGGAAGTGCAAGAAATGTAAATTTGTTGATGACTAACATGACTTTCACCAAAGGTATTGGTACACCAATGTACATGTATTAAAACAAGAAAAATACACAAAATATGCGGACGTCTTTTCGTTTGGCATAACTGTATTTGAAGTGTTTGCATGGTGTGAAGCGTATCCAATTGAGAATTATAAGTTTCCTTGGAAAATAGCTGAATTTGTAATGTCAGGGAAACGGCTTGAAAAAAAAGAAAACATTCCAGAAACCCCGTTTAAAGTGATAGAAATGTGCTGGGTACAAGAAAAGGCAAATAGAGTATCTATTGATAGAATAGTTAATTTACTTACTTTGTAATTGTCTTGTATTTATTTTTGACTAATAAAAAATAAGTTGATATTTATTGTTTGTTTTTTTAAATAAAATAAAAACACAACATATTTAATTTTTTGCACATCAATGTCTTTATAATATATATATATATATATAATCAGACATATATTTACACTACAATATCGTTTTAATTTTAAATAACACAATTTATAAATAAACTTGATTGTAATTAATGTAAATCAGTTTAAAAAATTAAACATGACTTTTGATTTAAAAAATTTTGTAGATAATTTTAATACTTTGATTTTAACACAAAATTATTTTTTTCCATTTATAATTAAAGGAAAAAAACAAATTGATAAAATTGAAAAAAAACTGGTATACCTTTTCCATTAATTATCGATAAGCCAAAATTAGCTTTTTAATTAAAATTGTTTTAGTGTACAATTTTGTCAATTAAAAATAAAGTTTAAAATTAACACACAATTTTAAAGTTTTTTAAATTGTATTTTTTGTTATATTTGTGTTTTTTATTATTTAGTAAAATATCCAGCCTTGTATTAAAAATATTGGGGTGATATTCCCGAATTTGTGGCAACAAAATAACTTATAGACAAGCGATTTCCCAATGAATACAAGTCGGTGCCACGTCATGATGCAATTAAGCATCCCGTCCATTAATTAAAATTTAACCAACCGTATTAAAGCTGGTGATGCAATTTGTGTTATTTGAATAGGGAGATTTCCCGATTTTTAAACAAAAATTTATATCATTTTATACTTATTATACATTTTCGTTATGTTCATTGTACACGATAGATATTTCAAACTATTCATTAAAAAAGTTTTTATACAACAATGACCAGGTATTTTATCACCTTAATAAACAATTCAATTATTGTCGTATTTGTTTATAATTATAATATATACAAACTGATGTTTAAACAATAAATACTAAAAAAACAATTAATATTTTTTTTGTTATTTGTAAGGTTTTTTTGTTGGAGTTGAGAATATACTTTGTAAAGGTCCAATTATACCCCTTTCAATTGTTATGAAACGTTGTAACGTATTGCTTTTTTAAAAAATATAAAATATTGTGTTTTTCTTTTGAAAGTGGTGATAAATGTTGTTACTCCACTTTAATGCATTGACATCAACAACCACCCCGGGTTCTTGGAATTGAAATATGTTTTTATAATTGTTAAAATAAGTATCATTTTCTTCATAAACAGGAGTTTCAAGAATTGTATTAAAATTGAAAGGTGTAATAAAATCATACTTTGTTTTTTCATGAAATAATTGTTCATCTTTTTGTATAGTGGTTGTGACTCGTTGAAGTTTTCCTTTATCATAAAAAAATAAGGATGATTTTTCATGTATAGTTAAATGAAAAATAATTTGATTAGAATCGTAGTTGGGTTTTTATACATTAAAATATAAATTAATCTATTCTTATAACATACACTGTTTTCAACACACTTTGAAACCAAAAATTAAAAAAGTGGTTTTATATATTTATTAATTTCAATTAAAACTATTATTATAAAATGATATAAATTTTTGTTTAAAAATCGGGAAATCTCCCTATTCAAATAACACAAATTGCATCACCAGCTTTAATACGGTTGGTTAAATTTTAATTAATGGACGGGATGCTTAATTGCATCATGACGTGGCACCGACTTGTATTCATTGGGAAATCGCTTGTCTATAAGTTATTTTGTTGCCACAAATTCGGGAATATCACCCCAATATTTTTAATACAAGGCTGGATATTTTACTAAATAATAAAAAACACAAATATAACAAAAAATACAATTTAAAAAACTTTAAAATTGTGTGTTAATTTTAAACTTTATTTTTAATTGACAAAATTGTACACTAAAACAATTTTAATTAAAAAGCTAATTTTGGCTTATCGATAATTAATGGAAAAGGTATATTTGTAAAAACAAGAATAAACAAAATAATATTTAAAAATATTATTAATTTATTAAGAATGTCAATAAAATAAGAGTTTTATGACGTAAGGTACTGTACGTTGTTTCCTTGAGTTATACAAAATTTCATTCATTATATCCTTATCTTTGATAATATAAGTACTCCAAATAAAAATATAACTTTTAAAACGTTTTACTAAATTATAATAGTATTTATTCATAATTAATAATTAATATAAAATAAAAAATATAATAAGTACGAAAATCGAACAAACACAAAACAATAAGCTGGAATTCAAAAGTCGACAGCACTTAATTTAAATTGGTCTATTTTCATGCAAAACATTGGGAAACACACTATTCTATTTATATTTCGAATTGACTTTCGATTTCCGTATATTAAGAAATAAACCAAAAAACCTTTACCTATTTAAGTTAGTTTATACACTTATTAATCAGGTGATGCCAGAGCTATGAAA